AAAATCATGGAGTTACCCTCATGTGATTTGCGTCGAATAACATATAATGTTTTGTTAACAGCAGTTAAACATGGTAAGAAAAGTTGGCCAGCTTCAGTTAAAAATATTTTTGATGGCTTGGGTTATTCCTTTTTATTTTTATCTCATTCAGCTTCTTTGTTGAGAACCCATTTAAATGCACTAATTCAAACTAAGTCAGATCAGTTGTGGAACTGGGATATGTCTTCAATATCAGCTAAACGAGTTAATCTGTGTGAATCACGCTTGGTCTGGTGTACAGCAAGTTACTTGAATTGTGAGACTAATTTTTCTACAAAAAGCCTTATTATGCAACTCAGACTAAACAGATTTCGAATTTTGTTCAAGGGTTACCGGATAAATATATCCAGTGAAGGGTGTTGTGAATTCTGTGGTGTAAAAGAAAAAGAAGATCTTCTGACTCATTTGTTTGAATCCTGTCAAGTGACATACCAACTAAAATGTTCTGTATTAGGGGAGGAGTTTAGATGTGATTATTTGAAGAATGAGGTTATGTCAAAAATTACCTTATTTAAGCTCTTCTCCTTTTTCTCTAAATCTTTGGAATTTCTTCGTTAATTTTACTATGATTTGAATGTTTATATTATTATTTAATTTGTCCCCATTGTAAGAAATTTAAATTTAAATCAATAAACAATAATAATAATAATTTTGTTTATTTCTGTTTTATTAAATGTTTATCTTTATTGTTAAAGAAAAGTCTCTTACATATCTGAATCAAAATGGGAAGTTGATCTCCAGACAATATCAATATGCGTGTTAATCTGCGTAGAATAAGTTTGATTAACTGGTGTCAAGGAATCCTGACTAGATCTAGATTTTATCCCTAGATCCTTCTTTTAACATTATAACAAGCCCTCCTAGAAAAAGTTTAGTGAGCCAATCTAACAATTGCGAGTCAGTAAGTGGCATAGATCAATTGTCTATGCCCTTGATTCTCACAATACTCAAGTGATTTTGTTGCTTGTTAATCACAGTCAACAAAAAGTTCAGTGGATTTATCTGCATTGTTAACATTTTTCATTCTAATGTATGAAAAAACAAATTAGGCAAAGAACAATTGCAGAAGAAAAAATGTCGTATAACTTTTAAAATATGGCTTTCATATAAGGAAGCTAATGACAACATCTGTCTTTTTGTATAATTTGTAGCAACCATTTGGCAGGTTTCAAGTTCTTAAAGACCTTTGGAAACAAATCATCTAATGTATATGGAAAAAATCTATTACTGTACATTTTTTGAAAGAAAACATCCAATTTCCTCAAAAATTATTATTATTAAAACAAAGTATAAACCAAAACAACACTTTCAAAGATTGATTATTGGAAGCATTCACAAAGAAAGCAGACAAATGCCAAACACAGAAGACACGTAAATGACCCCCTCAAAAAACTGATGAATGAGACCAAATTTATATACAGTAGTGGCCAAAAGTAGATCAACCCTTGACATATTTTTTAAAAATGCAACCTCTATTCTGTTTACCACCTACAACATAATTAATACTATGATATAGTTGAAAAGAGTGCCAAAAAAAATTCAATTGAATCAAACAAATTTTATTTTAAATCAAAGAAACCACTCATCGCTGCAAAAATCAAATAGTTGAGATTAGAATTTGCACATGAACACATCACTGGACCAAACAAAAATGGTCCAAGGTGTTATGGTGTGATGAATCTAAATTCAATGTCTTCTCTAGTGGTAGTATACGATATGTCAGACGAACAGTGAACATGAGATATAACCCAAAATACACAGTTCCTACAATAAAGCATGGTGGTGGCTGCATAATGGTATGGGGATGTTTCTCTGAAAAGGGAATTGGTCTAATTAATGGAATAATGAATCAAACTGTTTATTGGGATATAATGCAGAACCAAATACTTCCTTGTGTACATTATTCAATGCCAAAGGATGGATCTTCCAACAGGACAATGACCCAAAACAGCAAATTTGGTAAAGCAATGGTTTCAACAGAAAAAGGTGAACCTTATGTCACGGCTAGCCCAATCGCCAGACCTAAACCCCATAGAGAATCTTTGGGATGAAGTCAAACACTGTATATGCCAGTGTATACATTCGAATCCAGATGAATTGTGGTCTGCCATCCAAAACGTATGATATGAGATTCCCCAATCAACTGACAACATAGTTGATTCAATGGAATGTAGATGTGATGCAGTGATCAGAAGCTCTGGTTATGCCATAAAATACTAATATTTTGTCCTAAAAATACTGGACAAATCTGTATACTTCCTTTGTTAGCTCTACATTTGTCATTGTAAAATATAAAAACTGTATTTTTCTTTTGTAAATCAGATTTAAAATAAAATCTGTTTGATTCAATTGGGTATTTTAACTCTTTTTTTGTGCTCTTTTCAACTATCACAATATTAATTATGTAGTAAATGGTAAACAAAATAGAGGTCACATTTTTTTAAAAATATGTCAAGAGTAGCTCTACTTTTGGCCACTATTGTATATGGTCAAATCTCTTTTACATTTTCAAGGCATAAGCAACAACATACAAACAAACTACTTTTGAACTGTTTTCAGAGTGAATGTAATTGTCATAAATATATGGCTTGGCACAGATTAACACTTTACAACTGAATTTGTATGTGTAATTCTAACAGAGAAGTTTCAATTTACTACATGTATTGTAGAATACATTTGAACAACATAAAAATCAAAGTAAAACTGTAAATTTAAGTCAAATGCTTTGTTAGAATTACACATACAAATTCAGTTGTAAAGTGTTAATCTGGTTTTTTTGATAGTGAATTGATACATATGTCACATACTAGTACAATATGTGCTATCAATTGTTTCTACCAAAACTCCAGTCATGTGAAAGAATTAAATCATGGTTACAGTTACTAGTGAAATTATATAAAATTGCATGAATTATTTAACAATACGATTGCAAAAAATGTATCAATGGAATTAGACTGTACACACACAGACACAGGGCTACTTTTAGCCAGAATGTGCCAGCACACTGTACCAGCAGATATCATAAAAAGTATCAATAGCTGTTATGTACTACAGGTGGGTGCTCAGTAACAACAATTCTATATGTTCAGTCATCATATTTGCATATAAACAATAATTTTTTTTAATCAGATGAATTTAGCAATATTAGCCAGCTTAATCAGTTAATTACTGGAGTTCTCCAATAATTCTTGAATTCCAATAATTAACTGATTAAGCTGGCTAATATTGCTAAATTCATCTGATTAAAAAAAAATTATTGTTTATGTGAGATTCTGAAGTGATTTTAATATCTAATATTATTTAAAAGAAATCATATATTATTGTAAAAATTCGTAAGAATATTTAGCCACAAAAATTGTGCATTTTTATCAGTTTAATAAGGAAAAAGGAGAGAAATTAAGGAAGTTTATTTCCTTTTCCCACCAAGTAGTTATTCACCACATGACTAAATGTTTAGTCTGTCCACTTAGATCATTGTCAGATGACAAAATATCCAAATCTCCATTGGAGGAGATCTGGGATATAACAGAGGGTTATGCGCCAAATTGAGCACGTATCTACGATGACCGCCATAGGTCCAACACTTTAACTTAGTGCCTGAATCTCCTATAAAGTCTCAACTACCTCCTTATACAAAACCGCAATTGAAAATAATAGTTTAACTGGTGTAAGTCCCGACTGAGATTTAACGATCTTAATCTAATTTTATAAGTCATCCTCAGACATTGAGATCGGGTTTAACAGAGAACCCCTATAGCCCCCGGTTGCTCACATTTATATGCAAATATGATGACTGAACATATAGAATTGTTTTTACTGAGCACCCACCTGTACTACGTGGAGTTCTTACTAGAGTAATTCTTGAATTCCAGTAAAAAGTCAGATTATAAGGACATAATTTGTTTTTAGTCCAAAAAACCCCTTTTATGTGGTTAGATAAGTAAATAATTTTTTTAAAAAAGAGCACTGTTTATACCTATACATAAACTATTTTTTAAGTAAAATGAGCAATTATTTATTCTGACATTCTCACAATGCCAGGCTGCAATTTTTAACCATTTTTAATTTATTTAAAATATATATGCTCTCCATCTCAAATTAGTACTGTAGTGTCTTGCCCATGCATCATACTTTTCCATTAGTAATGGAGTTGTGCCAGTCATGTATCTAACTCCTTTCAGGGGAAATGTTTTAACTGAAATAACATGACTTCTGATTTGCACCAGAAGTTTGTATATAGTTAATCAAGGCCTCGTACTCTTAAGCTTTCCATATCTGGTCTTGAATTTCATTTATCTAACACCATTCTCAAGATTAAGGAAGGACAGACAGGTGACATTGGGAATTTATAGATCTACAATTTTTTCAAATTGCAGCCCAACAACTTAATGTTTTATTTATTAATAGATTTTGTTCAGAATGCAAATTTACTATACCTAAGAAAATTTTTCAAAATTATAGTTATTATTAATATTAATAAACTTGTCAATTCACCTTTAATAAAAAAGAAATCAATAAATCTCATCTACGTTTCTTTTTTTCTTGACGACTGCGACGGCTTGGATGATGTGTGTGATGTCTGTGAGAAGGTTGATGAGTCTGACCCTCCGTCGAAGTATCGTCATCGCTTGAATCGCCACCATCCTAAAAATAATAACAAAATATGGTTTATTACATGTATATTAAGTATTTCAGCCAAACAAATTGCTAGATTAGATTTGGCTATATTCCTGCTACTAAAGCCTGATTTAATTCAGCAATCATTTGGACTTAATATAGGTATCAAGCTTAAGGATTTTTATACAGTAACTTCTCATTTAAGTGACACACTCAGTTATGAAACTTTTTCCACTGGTCCTGGCTGAAGCTTATTGGAGATAATGTCTAAAATCTATCATCTGAATGACTCTCAGTTAAACAACTCTCTCAGTTCTAAACCCCTACATATGTTTCAGACTAATGTATTTTCCCCTCACTTTACCATCACGATTGTCAATCACAAGAACAGTGTGTGGTCACTTTGCCATACAGTAGTTCAAACAGGTGCCTTGAAAGAGAAGAAAGCAGAGAGGATTATCATACTGGACATAATATCTGTTTTTAGAAAGAGAATGGCTGCTGGCTGTATGTTTAGATAAAACAAGTGGTAATGTTATAATTATACGGTGTAGAGTTAACCAGAGTTTTTTAACAATAATGCCTATGTAAGTTGGCTGAGACCACAGAAAACTGACTACTTAACCGATGGTACAGTAGAGCATCGTTTATCCGAATCAATTGGGGACTGGGGTGGTTCGGATAACTTATTTTTCAGATAACGAATCATGTACGAAAAAATATATTAATTTATCCCATGTTGAAATTTCTCTCCGTTGCATGTCGCTTCGCGTTGAATTTTCGTCGATGTTAAGCCTAACGAAGACTATTGTATCGTTAAAAATTATTTTTTTATTTTGTACAAACAAAATAAATTTATTGAAAAATATAAAAACAATAAAAAATTATACTTCAGATGTTAATTTNTAGCCGCTCCGTAGCGTGGCGCAGGGTCGGAGGAAAGTAGTTCGGCTGCTCATCCACTATTGGTCCAGACTCTATCAATCTTGTCGCGAAACGACGTTGTAGGAGGTACGTTATACGAAAGTTGCTACAATTTTTTCGCTACGTTATAGGAATTGTCGTTATAGGAACGTACGTTATAGGGGGGTCGACTGTAATATGAGTTGTTTAATCGTTAGTGTTGCCACGGTCCTAACGTAAGTACTGCCAGGCATACGATATTGTATCACCATCCTTAAAATTGACGCACTTGCTCGTCAGGCTGGCCTTGTATATTTCTAGGGCCTCCAGGGCACTAATGTGGTCGGTATGAAATGACCGTCTTATCAGCCTGGTGTTAGGTAGATCCACTTCCAGGTCTGTGGCGTAGGTGGATGGGGCAGTGGTGTGCCCTATCCACCTACTATAATAAAATATTGCACTGTAATGGAATTTTATTTGCATAAAGAACTGTTTGTATATATTTTTATCAAACACAATTTTGTTTGGATTTGACAATTTTGATGGGATCCTCTACTGCAGGGCATACAGAAATGATAATTTTATTTTATCATTCCCTGTTTTGTACTTTTGACATTTTGCACTTGTTATACCAATACAGTAGTGTAGAACAGCAATTTCCAAATGTAGAGTCCAGATCCCACATAAGATCACCAATTCTTGTATGGTTGTGCCATAAACATTGTTATTCTGTTTAATAAAAAGTAAAATACATCTGGATACGAGTCCAATTTTGCTTGCCATGTCCAATCACCAGGAACAACTATTTCCATTGCAGAGACAACCTTTCTTTAGAGGCTATGCCTCTGCACAAATATGTAAAACAGTTTAAAATGTGTCACAGGTGACAATCCCAACACAATTAAAAGTATAATATTTCTTTGAATACGAAAAAATTTTTATTCTGCTTAAAAAATTTTTTAAAATATAGACAATACTGTGAGATGTGAACCACCCCTGTGATTAATTAAAAATTTAATTGGAAAAAGTAAAACTTTAGATAAAAATATTCATTGAATTTGATGGAAAAATTATATTTTCTAAAACGAAGGAAACTATAAAAAGTCACTTCCTTCAACAGAAGTTGAAACATCCTTTTTGTTTTCCCTTATCTCTTAAAAATCTTAGTCACCCTGGGAACTGTCAACCCCTCAGTAAAATCACCTTTTTCCTGTTCACGTGGAAAAATACAAATTGATGATTGGTGAAAATTCGTGAGAAAGAGAAAGAATCTAGCATCATTCGGGGAGTACAGAAGATCCAAAAGACAGACGTATTCCACTTCAGCTCCCGACGGCCAATGCCTAAAACTGATTCCCAAAGTCTCCTAAACGAGTTATAAGTCGGTAAAACTAGAGAAGAAATTGTTTAAATATGTGCCATTCAAGAACTAACAAAGAAGGTACCATCGTATTATTTAATCTGAAAGACAGATGAAGATAAAGATATTAGAGGTAGTACGGATTTGATAGTAGTTGTGAGCTATCTCTCTCAAAATAGCTTTATTCGAAGATTCAATTTTGTATAATTTTGTTTATTTCTGGGGGGCGCTGCTTGTAGTCGAGCGTGTTAGTGAACTTTTACGTGAGCTTCTTTGAAGTCCAAATTATGGAAAATATCGAATTTTGGATTATGGTGTTCGAGTTGTTGTTATTTCTGGGCGGAATAGAGTTAAATCCTGGTCCTGTTGATCGTACTCCGCCGCATTCACAGATTCAGGCATCGGCATCCACTGCTAAACGACATCGTTCTCCGAGTGAACCTTCATTGAAAACGGCGAGATTAGAAGATTTCTTCCCTTTAAAGTCAGACACAAGTAAGTCTATTCCTGGGGAGGTTATTTCTTATTTGGATGACCGATTTGATAAGCTTTTTTCGACGTTAAATGAGGTAGTTGCGAAGATAGATTGGTTGGCTAATTTACATAATGACCATGATCGGCGTTTGACTCAGTTAGAAGCCAAACTAGGAGAGATTTCTAAAATTAAAGATGATTTGCAACGGGAAAACAGTTTGATTTTGTATTCTTTGGACAAGGTGTCGAATGAAGCGAGAAAGAAAAATTTTTTAATTAAAGGTTTGATTGATGATGGTTCTGATTTGAATAGGAAGGTGCAGAACCTGTTTTATACATTGATAGGTGAATCAAGACCTATTCCAACGGTTAAGATAGAGAAATTTAAACGTTCAGATATGGTATTGGTGGAATTGCAGTCATTTGCAGACAAAAAATTAATTTTTGCTAATCTTGGAAAGATAAAAGCCAATGACGTATTAAAAAATATACAAATTTTTGAAGATTTATGCTGGCGCTCAAGATTGAGACGGAAAAAGCTTCTGCCTTTTCTACGTGCTTATAGGTTGGAGGGCAGGCGAGTTCGATTGATGGCCGACGTTTTACAGGTTGCCTCAGAGAGATATACTTATGATTTGGCTAGAGGAGAATTATTGAAACTTGATTTTTTAGTGGAAAGCCATGTAGTTGATTCTCCAAATGTTCTCTCTCCGATTCAGGGAAGTGTACAGTAGAATTGAAAGTTTCAGCATGGAACTCCCAGGGCGCCTTTCTGACTAATCTGAATGATAATGGTTTTGTTGAACATATTACCAGAACTGATATTTTGGGACTGACTGAGACTTGGTCTACAGTTCCTTTATGTTCGAGAGTTAAAAGTATTAACTGTAAATTTAAAGTTTTTGAGATATTGGCCACCAAAAATTTGGGGAGAGGTAGACCATCGGGTGGGTTACTTTTGGCCATAAGTGGTGACCTGGGAGAAGTTAATTTGCTTCTGTCACGGCAATACATGATGGTTGTTAAAGTGAAATTTAATCGGAGGCAAAGTAGAGGATTACGTGAAATGATAATCATATTGGTTTACCTTCATATACCTATTTTTGATCAATTAATTTCAAGACTAGAAGATTTGATCTCTGATTATACATCAGATTACGATCTTTTGTTGATGGGTGATTTTAATGCACGAATTGGTTTGACAATGGACTCTTTTTGTGGTGGGAATGTGATTTCGAATATTCGACTGTCAAACGATAAAATTTGTAACAAAAGAGGA